TCTGTGCTCAAGTAGGTTCCTTTTTCCTTTATGAGTGAATTGAGTCCTCAACAACCTAAATATAGAAGCTAAAACCATACAACTCTTAGAAGAAAACACAGGGGCAAATCTTCATGACCTTGAATTTGCCAGTGGTTTCTTAAATATGACACCAAAAGCACAGGTGACAAAAGAAAAACACAGATAAAACGAACTTCATTAAAATTAAATTTTTTGCATCAATAAACATTATCAAGAAACTGAAAATGCATACAGAATGGGAGAAAATATTTGCAAATCATATATTTGATAAGGGTCTAGTATCTAAGATATATAAAGAATTTACAGCTCAACAATAGAAAGATAAACAACCCAATTAAAAATGGGAAAAGGACTTGAACAGACATTTTTCCAAAGATACGCAAATGACCACCAAGCACATGAGAAATACTCAACATCATCAGTCATTAGGGAAATGTAAATCAAAAGCACGATGAGATACCACTTCACACCCACTGGGATGGCCATAATTTAAAAAATGGAAAATAACAAGTGTTGGTAAGTAAGGATATGGAGAAACTGGAATTGTGACTTGTTGGTGGAAATGTAAAACTGCTGTGAAAAACAGTTTGATTTTTTGGTTTCTTAAAAAACTAAACACAGAATTACCAAATAATCCAACAATTCTATTCCTAGGTAAATATCCAAAAGAATAAAAAATGGGGGCTCTAACAAACACATGTACACTTATGTCCATAGCAGCACTCTTCACAATAGCCAAAAGGTGGGAACAGCCCAAATGTTCATCAATGGATGAATGGATAAAGAAATTGTTAGCTAGCTAGATATATCTATATAGATAGAGATCTATGAATGTTATTCAGCCATGAAAAGGAATGAAGTACTGAATACATGCTACAACATGGATGAACTTTGGAAACGTTATACTAAATGGAAAAAGCCAGGCACAAAAGGTCATACATTGTATGATTCCATCATATGAAATACCTAGAATAGGTAAAACCACAGAGACGGAAAGCAGATTGTTGGTTGCCAGGGGCTGGAGGAGAAACTGTTTAATGGGTACTAAGTTTCCCTTTAGGCTGATGAAATGTTTTAAAACTAGATAGAGGTGGTAGTTGTACAAAATTGTGAATATGCTAAATGCCAGTGACTTATTTGCTTTAAATGGTTAATTTTATGTTACGTTAAATATTTTCTCAATTTAAAAAAAGTGAATTAGAGACCTGGGGGGGTGGAGATAAGAGTGATGGCAGATGCCAGGAATAAAGTCCCCCAAGCAGTTCTCCGTCCAGACCCAGAGGCCGTCTCCAAGCTTAAGGAGGGCACAAAGGAATTTGAGAGTCCATTTATTCTATTTTACAAATGGGAAAGGCAAGCCCAGAGAGGATAAGAACTTGCTGAAGGCCCCAAAATGCATGGGAAGCATTTTGAACTCAGAGCTGGCACTGCACCATGGTGCCATATGGCCTCTGCTGGCCATGGTGGGCTGGAGGGGGCCCATGGCTGTGGTTAGATGAGTGAAGTCTAAGCTCACAGTGACCTTCCAGCCTGAGCACGTAAAAGGGATAAAGTCATCAACCAATTGGCTATCTGGTCTCATCCATACCAAAGACTTTGTTTTGGATGAGTCAACCAGAGCCTCCTCCTTGAGAGTCAGCCCTCCATGAGTGCAGTTAACAACTTTAAGAGGAAAACTCATTAGCCAGCTGTTCTATTTCTGCCCACAGCCTGCACCCTTGGGCTGAGGTCATTAGTTTCCCCACAAGGGCCATGGGAGGAAGGCAAACGTCCTAGAATTAGAGCATTCACTGATCCCCCCTAAGGGACCCGGGAGCATCCAGTCAGGCCCTGGAAAGCGAGGCCAGCTGAGCCACTGGAGCCCTGAGCGGTTGTTTTCTTTTTTAAGGTTTTGCTGGCTCAGACCTGTTGGGCAGGTATAAAAGGGAATGCCAGCCTCTGCTGAGCACCCAGTCTCTCCCAGTGTGGTCTCAGGTGGGTACCATAGGGGATGCTGGGGGAGATGGGAAATGGGGATGGGGTTTGTGCAGGAGCCACCTGAGGAAAGTAGACGCAGTGATGAGAGATGGGCAAGGAGGGGCAGGAGGGGAGCATTTCTTGAGCACCCAGTGGCAGCAGTGTGGGCATCTCATTCAATGTTCCAAGGGACTTTGACCTCCAGGACTCCATTCCACAGTGAGGCGGGAGCAGCTGGGATTCAAACCCAGATCAGTTCCACTTCACTGCCCCACCCACTTTCTCAGAGGGGACGGAGGAGTGTTGGATTCATGCTGGGTTCACCGCCACCCTGCATTTCCTGTAGTTTGTAATGCATCTCTTCTACTTGAGGACTCTTTTAGCTTTTGCATTTCATGAGCTGAATTTTTTATATGTTGTGTGGTTCATGATTTAGGGGAAAAAAAATGGGTCTTGGCTATCGAAGATGCTCAGAAAGAGCTGTTTTCTGGGAGCACAGGAGTAATTTGGATGCAGGGGGCCTCGGAGTTAGTCATAACTGAGAAGGAGGCTGGCAGCCCTGAGAGGGTGGAGCCTGGCGTCAGAGGCCTGTGCAGTGCTAGGGGCAGTGCCTGGTCTCAGGAATCTGTGCCCCAGGCCTCCAGGCCAGGACGACAGCAATGACACCTTAGCTTGTGGTTCACAGCAAAACCACCAATAAAAAGTAATTGGAATAAACAAAAGAGAATTTATGGCCCTTCCACCCCCATTAGAATAATTAAAAAGATCCCAGCCCTCAGAAGCAGTTATTTTGTTTTATGACAAGTCTAATGCATGTTAACCTGACCTAGCATTTTCTTTTCATGAAGATTTTGGTTTCATTTCCCTGGTGACTTCCATCTATGTTAAACAGGAACAGGAAAATGAGACAGGCAAAAGACAGTGCAATTCAACCTACAGGAGCAACAGGAAGTTTATGTTGAAAAATCATATCTTCCATTAAGGGGATGAGGGAGGCCCGAGGAAGCCCCTGAGCTCCCAAGGTGACTTGTGGCAGAGTAGAGTGAGACACAAGTCTCCCGCATGCTGGATGAAGACTGCTCCAAGCTATGGGCAGAAACCAAGAACTCCCATTTCAGTGCTCCTCAGTGACAGGACTCAGGAGGGATTAGGCAAGGTCCTTACCCTGGACTCGGGGATCTTCAGTGGGAAAACAATCCCATCATGATTTTCACTGCCTTTCACTGAAATGTACCATTTCCTCCTCTTCTTAACACAGGCAGCGAATCATAGTCGTATTAGCGGTACCTGTGACTTTGTTAGAAATGGAAGTCACCGATATTTTCATATTATAATCATGGCAGAGAGCTCAAAAGATTCTTAATTCTCACTGTTGCTTCAAAACAGTGGTTATTAGTCCTGCAGTTAGACTGTGTTATTTAATGTGTTAGTAAAGAAGCACATGTATTACCATGTCATGCATGTTTAATGTTTTGTTAATTATGTTTTAATGTCATTTGTTTTCTTGGTAACTCTATATACTTTATTACTTGAATTTAAAACATTTTGTCCAATGGGACTACAGACATCACCAGATGGCACAGGACCCCCACTCTCTTCCTCCAATTCATAATTTCTATGAAATGGACCAGCTCTGGGGTTGGGGAACCCAGGCTGCAGCCAGAACTCTCTAAGCTGGACCTCACAGAGAGATGAGACAAGAAGTCATTCCTTGCCTCCAACGGCATGCCTGTCCTGGCTCGGCCTCTTTGGGAAATACCAGGTGCTCCCCGGAGGACAGCTCGGTGTAGCAGGGACCCGGGGGCACAGGAGTGAGACCCTCCATCTCCAGCTGGGTTATTGAAAGGTGGAGGCTGGACTCTTGGCCTCAAAAACAGCACTGCTGGGAAGGGGCTCAGAATCACACCCTCCCCAATCCTTCAAGAAGTTTCTTCACTCCCACTCCCAAGACAAACTGGGGTGCCCTGACTTCTCTCTTTGCTCCTGTGAGTCCCCAGTTCTCCTCCTTCCTCGTGGTTTGGTGAATTTGTCGGAGTTTGGAAACCAAGAGGCTCAGGCTTGACCCCAGGCTGGCCTTGTCATAAGAGAGATAATTGCTGAACCTGGACAATAATTTGTACCCAGGACTCACTCAGCATCTGGTAAAGCCTGTGGACCTCTGCGCAGATGAGTATTTTTAAATGCATAAGATAAACTACATAGGGTTACAAAGGAAACCAATGGTGTTAAAATACAGTTATCAAAATATTAAAAACTCAACTTGAATAGTAATTAAAAGTGTACTTCGTTAGTGATTTAAATAACAACATCTAACTGAGGATCTAATAAGACCATAATTTCAAAGTTAAGACAAGGTAAGTGACATTTTGAGGTATCTGAAACCAGACTAAGATAAAAGGAGAATAGCTGCGATTTCCATTGGGGACAAGTCACAGCCACTCTGGTACTACTGTGGCTTGTGGCCTCTGTTCATATCTTAAGGGAAAGTGAAAACCAAGTGGTGATTGTTTTCCCATCCCATTTAATGGTTAAAAGTCCTTGTTTTAACTTCTCCTGGCTGGTGGGGGTAAGCAACTTTGAGGGTTATCAGCTTATTCTTATTCTAGGTCAGGGGTCGGCAAACTTTTGAGACGGAAGAGCCGGTCCCGTCCCTCGAAGTTTTGCGAGACCCATAACACAAATGAAATCACCATTATGTGAATAATATCCTTTAAAAATTTTACAAATGAAACTCTGATAGTTTTATTTTCATTTTCAATTTTACTTCAGAGCCACATGTACGTACCCGAAGAGCCACATGTGGCTCGCGAGCTGCAGTTTGCCGACCCCTGTTCTAGGTTATTCAGACCTAATAGCATCAAGACCAAGGAGATGTGAGAGAAGCAACCGCCTGTCTCTCTCGGGACATTTGCCCCGCCCATACATCAGCCTTGGCAAACTGTCCTTGCTTTCCCCCACAGCACCCAGGGAAGTCCTGGTTCCCACCCTCAGCTCCTCCCTGCGCCTCCCTCAGCCCAGCCGCAATGCCCGGTGGATACAAAGGTGAATGTGGGGACGATGTGGACCCAATGCCCTTCCTGGCACCTCCTGAAAAGGAGAGGATCGAAGCGATGAACAAGCCCTATGACATCAAGAGGTCTTGCTGGGTCAAAGACGAGAAGGAGGGCTTTGTGGCTGGGGAGATCCAGTCTGAACAGGGAGACCAAGTCACCGTGAAGACTGTCACCAACCAGGTGAGTGGGGAATAAACTCCAGATGAAAAATAAGCTTGGGAGTGGCCAACACCCAGGCTCTGTTGTTTATGCTTCTGCTCAAGAGGCAGGGTAGCGAGAAGAGCAGATGCCTCTGAGTCCTGTGTGCTGGGTTCAAGTTCAGACTCAACGACCCTCAGGCTGAGTGGCCCTGAGAAAGACACTTCCCCTCTCTGAGCTTTGGGTCTCTCACGATAAAGATTCCAATGTGATAGAACATATGGAAGTAATTTGTATGCTCTAAAATAGCACATGTGTGTAAGAGATTATCGTGAGAGTTACTCATCTTGAAAGTCCCAAGCAGCTCTCCTGTGGAATCTATTTTCTAAGACTGAGAATGAGCACCCCACCTATCAGCAGTTGCACTAGGTACCCACGATGGCACAAGGAATGAGACTGGGCCCAGAACACTCTGGTCAACCCGGGTGAGTTCTTCAGCTACATAAGCCACAGGTAGTGGGTCCTGAGCCCCTTGCTGCATGTGCTGGGCTGGCTTGTCCTGGCTTGCGAGGACACACACTAAACACTCAGGAGCTTTGCAGCCAGTTGTTAAACCTTCAGCAGCTTGATATCAGCTCTGGTGGAACTATTTACACCATGGGAATTGACAAATGGTACAAATCAGGGTTTTTTTTCTATTCCATACAGATGGTTTATCAGCACATCACTCTCTCTCTCTACTAGTCCGCACTGTCTGACTTGAGAGACTGGGTAGAAATTTTGGTTTCTTAAACCCCTATCCTGTCACAGACTTCTGGTGAGGCACTGGACATTTTATTTAATCCCTTCGTAACCTTATGTATTAGGAGTAGGACTTACTGACCCTGTTTTACAGTAGGGTCAAGGAGAATTTAGGTAAGTTGCCCAGTCACAATGATGAACTTGGATTCAAACCTGGCTGTATCTGGCTCAAAGACGATGCCCCCTCTACATCACCATGCCATCTGTCCATGGTGGGCTGCAAAGGGGGAGTATGAGGTCAATCCTAGTTAATTTCATTAATACAAGAAGCCAGAGACCTTCCACGATAGGACTTGCAACAGCTGAACTTTACTTGGCATAACCCCCCACACTGCAAGGGGAGTGGCAGGAGAGAGATGAGGCTGTAGCTGGGTTAAGGTGGGTTCAAACACGAAAGTCAAGCTCAATTCTCAAGGGAAACATATTCTTCAGAAGGGCGAAGCGTTACAGTGTTGCGAGGAATCATGGACGAGAGTAGAGTCCTAGAGACCCCGTTTGGATGCAATTTAAGGACAAAAATTAACTGCCATGAGCATCTGCAACAGACACACCATCCAGCCAGGCTGGGGACAGAGAAGCCTGACTCACCTGGCTCCTCAGATAGGGGCAAAGGCCTCCAGTCCTCTGTTGGAGCTGAGAAACAAGTGCTTGCCTGTGGGTGAGATGCAGAGATCTGGAAACTACTGAAAATGGACTCTGAATAAAACCCAGCTTGATTTACTAGGGGTGTGGTGGCCACTACTGGGTGTATTTTCTAGAACTGTCAAGGTTTCAGATTATCTGCCTATTGGACTTATAAATTACTGAAAGTCCCAGGAATCCCAGGATGTGCTCAAGCCTCACATCTCAGGCTACAGGCAGATCAGAGATATTTGTTTTCTGGATCACACATCTTGAGCTTTGGTCCCAGATGATGAGTAAGTAATAGTTTACATTTACAGATGAAAAATTGGGGTGCAGAGGGAAGACACAACTTGCCTGCTGTATACAGGAGCTCCAGATTCTTAATACTGTACAATTTTCACCCTGACACATCTACTGCCCAATGCTCATTATTGTCTTCTTTGTCTTTGTCTTGTTTGCTTGCTTACAATTTTATCCTTCAAGGTGGTTTGGTGGGAGCAGAGGAATTTTATTTTATTTTATTTTATTTTTAGTGAAAATGTTCGTTGTTATTTAGAAACCACCACTAATTCCCAAAGCAGAGAACCAAGAGTCACATCTCTGCATAGTGTCCCCAGGATCAATGAGAAAGCTTTGGTCAGCTACAAGAACAGACTTGGTGGGAAGAGAAGCATGGGCCAGAGGTGCTCTGAATGTAGGGAGGGAACTTCATAGCTCACAAGGTATTTTTCCATGACTCCACTTAAGTTTATATAATTCTCCCCAAAACCAGCTATGGATGCTATTGTCATCCCTACTTCAGCAGGGAAACTGTTAGGGCTCATAAGGCCTCAGAAGTCCCTTCACATCCCAAGTCTCACAATGGGACATGGCTGGACCAGGAGTTGGGCCCACTGGACCCCTGACTCTAGGTCCTTCCAGAATATCAGACTGTATGTGGCCAGCTGTGCCAGATGCTACTGTGGCTGCCACAGCACTGTTTCTTAATTAATGTGCTGCTGTGTCTTAACATCTTTCCCCAGACCCTCACCATGAAAAAGGATGATATCCAGCAGATGAACCCACCCAAATTCTACCAGGCCAGTGACATGGCAGACATGACCTTTTTGAATGAGGCCAGTGTCCTGGACAATCTGCGCCAGCGCTACACCAACATGAGGATCTATGTGAGTGCCCAGGGCCAGGGCTAGGGGAAGAGGGGCATGGGGAGGGGGTGCTGCAGATCTTCTGCCCTCCTCCTGATGGGAGGGGGAAGCTACTCTACCTTTCCCAGCAACCAGTTCACGTTATGACAAAGACAAGGGCACAGGGACCATGCTTTTGACATGTTATAACTCCCACTCCAAGCCTTTGACATCTCAGTGATGGCACCATCTTCATGAGCAGCTGAAATACCTTTTGCTGAAGCTGTCACCCAGAAGTCTTCCTCCCCAACCTACCCCTGCAAACTCTGCAATCAAAACATCATTTTACTCCTAGTGATTTCATACGGCTTGATTAGAAGTCCCTCCCTGTCCACCCATCCATCTATCCATCCATTCATCGACCCTTCCTTCCTTCCTTCCTTCCTTCCTTCCTTCCTTCCTTCCTTCCTTCCTTCCTTCTTTCCTTATTTCATCCTTTTTCTTTATTCCTTCCTTGTATCCATCCATCCAACCGTTCACTCAACAAACATTGAGCACTGTGCTAGGATGAGCAAAGTGGGTGACCATCAGTCCCTTGACCCTCTAAAAAATCCTAAGACAGAAATATAATTTCCTGAAGATGCTGGTGGCTAGACTCAACATGGGCTATAAGGAAGTTTGGGTGTTTGCCTCTCTAGATGTCTGTACTATAATAGAAAGATGTTTACCTGGTAGGAATAAGCATCAGGTGAGGGAGGGCCTGGCTTCAAGATCAGGGGTCTCTGGAGATTTCTAGTGATTTATAGCGACAGCCAAGATGGCTGCTGCCTGCTTCCTCCCTTCAACCTACTTCAATACGACTTTAGGTCCAGATTCAGACCCCAGCAACACCATAGCCTCAGGCAGTGCTGGAAGAACTTGGGGATATTTGCTGGGCCAAGAGGCTAGTGGAGGCTTCAATGGACCTCAGGCCTGGGAAGATTTATATTCGCCCCTGGCTGAGCCTGGAGCTTGGGCTGTGAATGTTTGTGTGGGCTCAAAGGCCAAGCTCAGGCCTGGGGCTCTCTCGGGGCCACTCTGCAGTCAAGTCTTTGCTCCCCATTGGTGGCCACATCATGTCTGTGGACTAAGAGACTGCAGGGGTAAAGGCAAGGAGTCTCCTCTTTGGTTGCTGGTTGAATAACTGACAGGCAGGGACTGCTCCACAGTCTCATCTGTTTCCCTCTCATGTCCCTCCTGCAAGGGTGGGGGAGTGGGGAGACCTCTCATTTTCATTCTGACCAAAGCAGGGATATAACTGGCTTTCAGGCTGCTGTCAGCCTCATCCCCACCCCTGCTGGAAGGAAAGAGTGATTCAATGGCTGGAGTCCCAAGATGAGAGACTGTGCATCATACTATCGGCTCTTTATATAAGATTCCTTTTAAAAACCAGCATATTGCAGCTATGCTAAGGAGTAGCTGGGGCTGGGGAATGGGGGGGAGGGGCATTCCCACTTGGACCCAAGTGGAAGGTTTTAAAGTTGAACTGAAAAAAGGCACAGAGTGGGGGTGACAGGTCAATATGAGTATCCACCAAGGAGAAAGGAAAATTTGGGACCCATGGATTTGGCCATTTCCTGCCCTCGCTTATTCTCTCCTCAGATCATTTCTTTTACTACCTCATTGGTTATTCCGATTTTTTTAATGGGTTAATTTCCTTGGGATGAAAATTGCCTTGGGATGAAAAGAAAAGCTGGTGTCTCTTCTTAAGAGTAAATCCAACCCAGCTGCCCAACAGTGGGAGATTGTGCCCACACAGTGAGGACTTCACAGCTGTTAAAACACCCCAGAAATCGCTCTGTGAACTCTCATGGAAAATCTCCCAGATATATTCAGTGGAAAAAGCCAGACATAAAACAGTGTCATAAAAACTATCTTCAGTTGTAAAAACAAGGTGGAACATAAGAATGTGTCTCTGGATTTGTATGTAGATGCATCAAAAACTGTGCAAGTGGGTATTAGAAAGTAACACAGGACTCACCTGTGGGAGGAAAGGTGGGCACTGAACAGTTGGGGGAACTTTTTGCTGCATATTTGTCCATACAGTGACCATGTTATCTATTCAAATAGAAAATGAAGCAAATATACATTAAAGAGAAGACTTGTTTTGCTTACTGAATAAAGACTCAGACATAGATTTTGTCCCCAGAGAGCACACCACCATGTCTCACCAGGCTGGCGGTGACTTACAGCCAGGCTGCTCTGTGTCAAGGCCGGGGCCCAGAAGGGAGGGGCCAGCAGGAGGAAGGGCCAGCTAACCATCTTCCTTCCCTCTCACCAGACCTACTCGGGCTTGTTCTGCGTGACCGTCAACCCCTACCGGTGGCTGCCCATTTACGGCGCCCGAGTGGCCAACATGTACAAGGGCAAAAAGCGCACAGAGATGCCTCCCCACCTCTTCTCCATCTCAGACAATGCCTACCACGACATGCTCATGGGTGCGTGGGGTGGGGCCTGCTGGGGTTTTTGTGGTGGGTGACAGAAATTCCTTTGCTACTGTGGCTCCAAACACATTAGAACTACATGCTACCCAATCCCAACCCTGACCCCACACCACCTGTTGAAGTTCATTGCTAAATGTTGATATTCATACACATTAATATGATATTAATACACATTAATGTACCGGGCACTTTCTAAGTACCAGCCCTGCCTCACGCCCTATCTCATTTAAGCATCACAGACAGCAGGATGCCAAGCTAAGCAGCTTGCCCAGAACTCAGGTGAACATTTAACCATTCCCTGTATGATCTCTGCTACGGTCGGTATACACTACAGAGGCCCCATGAAGTGACTTTTATTACCATTTCTCTTTATTTTGCTGATGACTGGGTAGCTTTATGGGAAGGGGCTGTTAGGAACAGGGTGGCTGATCAATTCTTGGCCCTTTCTTCAAGGATGTATGCTGCAGAGTCAGGCATGTCACCTTGGACGTCTCAGTATCCTAGGGCTCCCCTGGCTGCTGTGGCCACTCTCCAAGTTGGGTGGGATGCAGGGAGATGCAGACTCTTCTGGGTGAGGGTGATGTAAAATGTCTAGTTTCTAAGTGTTTCCTAATTACATCTTCTGGTTGCTGTTTTCTTCCCTGCAGACCGTGAAAATCAGTCTATGCTAATCACGTGAGTGCCCCTCTGTCCCTCAGTCTATATACATATAATTAGGTCTGTATCTTACACGTGTGCTTAAGCCTTCTTTTAAATTAATTGGTGGGTCTTTACATGGAAATCTGCAGGCAGCGAGTAGGCCTAGCAGGATGAGTAAGTAAGTCTGCACCTGCTAAACCTAGGGGAACCTCCATGTTGCCTAGCCCCCTACCTGTCTGTCCCAGCTGAAGGGTGAAATGTGACCATGGTCAGCTGTACTTTGTATTGTTCTACTTCTCTGCGGCTACTCCGCAGTTCGTGCTTCACTTGTCTGCCCCCATTTTCCACCCACAGTGGAGAATCTGGTGCTGGCAAGACTGAGAACACAAAGAAGGTCATCCAGTACTTTGCCAATATCGGAGGAACTGGCAAACAGGCCTCTGATGGGAAGGTAGGGATGACTGCGCAGGTTCATGGTCTGCCATCCTCAGCCTGTCGTCTTCGGGCCCACACAGCAGCGCCCATGTGACTCTCACAGCTGCTTCTGTGGGTTAGGGCCATTTTATAGATGAGAAGACTGAGGCTTAGAGAGAAGCAATTTGGGTGGGGTCACACAGGGAAGAGGTGGCAGCAAACCCAAATCTCCTCCCACAGGATGGACTCTGCTGCCCCAGGCTGCATCTTACCTGTAGGTCCTGGTGGCCCTGGAGCAAGAGGAGCATTAGCTGGGCTAGCGGCATCAGTCAAAAGCCGACAAAGAAAAGGAGGGTTGGAAGAGAGATCAGGGGTGCCCAGGGAAGGGTGGTCAGCTGGCTCAGGGGTTTCTCCGCAAAGATGAAGGGAAAAAACAGCAGCTAAGAATCAAGGCCTAACATCTGCCAAGCGCCCCTCCTATGTCAGGGGCTATAGGCGGGCAGTCATCAGACAGTGGACCTCCTTCCAGGTCCCCTCCAGACCCGATTTCCTAGCCTCGCCAAGGCTGTTCCCCTCCTGGTTCCTGGCACATAAGCCACTGTCATTGAAAACCCCTGGGTCCCCAGGCAGTAGGCAATAGGCAGCCTCACCTTGTGTTTCTCTCTGGGGCAGGGGTCCTTGGAGGATCAAATCATCCAGGCGAACCCAGTGCTGGAGGCTTTTGGGAACGCCAAGACCACCAGGAACAACAACTCCTCTCGCTTCGTAAGTGTGAGCCTCGGCAACGGTGGGCCCTGGGGGTGGTGGGACAGCTATCCCCACCCCAACCCAGGTAAGGAAATTGGGCCTGGTTTAAACAGACCAATGGGATTAGGCAAGTCACGGCATCTCCTTCCCAGAGATTTTTATCAGTCAGGGTCTATACCAAACAGAACCCACATCAGTATTTAAATCAAGGAGTTTGAAAACAGGAATTTAGGAACGCAGTGATGGAGGAGCTGAGAAGTCAGACAGGGAAGCCAGAGACTTGCAATGGCCAGAAGCAGTGGGCGCCCTCCTCAGTCCTACAGGCTGTGCCACAGACCCTAGATTGAGCTCCAAGACCCATCCACCTCCTCTGCCCATCTGCATGGGACGTTCGTGACGCCACACATAGCCACGTCTGGCCACGTTACACTCCCCGAAAAGCTCTCTGAATTTGGGAGGCTGTCAATGCGTGACCTCTGCCAAACCGGGGCCACGTGTTGCTCCAGGACTGCACGTGTCCTTCCTCATGACACTGCCTTCTCCTCTCCTTGCTGCTCAGGGCAAGTTTATCCGGATCCATTTCGGAACGACAGGCAAACTGGCTGGAGCTGACATCGAGAGCTGTGAGTCAGGCCCTTGCAGAGGGTCCCTCCTGTCAGGACCAGCTCCACAGTGTGTGGGGCCCAGTGGAAAATGAAAACGAGGGATCCTTTGTTCAAAAAATATTAAGAATTTCAAAACAGCAACAGAGGGACATTAAACCACATGTGGGCCCTTCTGAACGCAGCCTTGTCTTATGCCCAGCCTGTCCCCCTCCATCAGCAGACAGGCCCCCCTCCAGCTGTGTATCTGGGGGAGAGGGAAGAATAAATCCATGACCAGTTATGGCACTGGGCTTTATGGAGAGGGGAGCTCTGCCTTCCACGGAGCCCAGCACTTCAGGCAGAACGCACTGAACTTATGGGCATTTTTGCTTATTCTTTTCCAGATCTCTTAGAGAAATCTCGTGTCATCTCACAGCAAGCAGCCGAGAGGGGCTACCACATTTTCTACCAGATTCTCTCTAACAAGAAACCTGAGCTTATTGGTAAAGATCTTTATGTCTGTCTGCCTGCCCTATAACTTGCTTTTCCTCTTTTTTCAATAACAAAAAAAATTCACATATGTGGAAGGTCTGGTGTCACCCTGGTGGTTCTGCATGAATCCCTTTAGACTTATGTGTAGGTTACAGGGACCTTTCTCAAAGCTCTACTCACATCTCATCTTCACAACAGACTTATGAGGCTTAGCCCACTGTTGGCCCATTTCACAGATGGGGCTTTGGGATGCCTACAACTCATGGCTGAGACATAGACCTGGGATATGGGGTTTTAGAACCCTTCCTGCACCATGTCTTGGACCTGCTGCCTCTGGGCCCAATGCTCAGACAGCAGGAGAGAGGTCAGCCCAAGACCACAGTTAGCCCTGCCAGTGCTTGCATGTGAAATAACAACAGGCTACCCTCTCCGGGAACATAGCTCACACTGCGTGTACAGCTCGGTAAGCAGAGTGCACTCATCCACTCAGCTGGATGCCCCTGTGCAGGCACCAACATGATCAACTGTCCATGGAAGACCTGCTCAGGATACAGGGTGGGGGGAGGGACGGAGACTCAATCTACCATATATACACCCCCTTGACTCAGCCAAATTCTAGGTCATTGGACACCATCCCCACTCACAGGTGGGCTTTATTTACATTTGACACGGTATATTTTGTTGTTGTTGTTTAGCTGAGCCATCCTGCCACCTGTTGGCAGCTCAGCGGCAGCTCATCTTGGGCTGGGAATCAAACTGGCGATCCTGTTGCTCAGAGCTTGCACTCTTGAGCGAGCTCTTAATCAACTGAGCCACTCGGGGCCCTGACACAGTATATTTTAATTAATGGATGGCATTTTGAAATTAAAAGACTTCATATAAAAACCCAATGTCCTGGTTTCTCTCTGGACTAGCAGAAGACCTAGTAGCTATGGGTCTGCTCTCCCATGTGGCCCTAATCAGGGCAGCTGAGTGGTAGTGACCCCTTTGGATGAAACCTAGGCTCTCCTGTTTACCACACTCCCCACCAAGCCCTATTGCCTCTCTGTAGCAGAGTGGCAGCTTCCATTTATCTTCCTTCTTGAGCTGTAGTTTTTCTAGATAATAGAGATGAAAAGACAGAAAATTATTTCTTGCACCTATGTCTCTTCCAAAAGTGAAAAAAACAAAGATAGACCAAGAGGTACACACATTTGAAGGGGGGAAAAAAGTGAGCATATTTCTTTGTGAAAGTGACAACATCCCATGTGTATTACATGCAAGTGATTGTTATTGCCTGCTGCAATCATGTATTACCTTCTTCCTTAGAGTCTGACCTGCTCTTTATAGGAGGGAGGAAGGAGAAAGATATGAATTCATTTACTCCAAAAATATCTGTTGGGTGCCTACTAGGTGCCAGGTACTGAGCCGTGACAGAGGACACACCCAAGCCCCTGAGACACTCTTGCCACTCTAAAGCTCCTTGCGTGACCCTCTTCAAGTCCCTCCATGACTCTGGGTGATCCTAGAGGAAAGGGACCATGTCTTATTCAGCCCTGTGACCCCATGATGTCCACCATCATGCCTGGAATGTGAGGGGCATTTAGAGATCCTGGTTTAAAATGAAAGAAGAAAGACACGTGTCACCCAGCTGTTAACCCACTTTCCTGCTCTTGGCAGAGAGTTTGCTGCTGGTCCCCAACCCTAAGGAGTACTGCTGGGTGAGCCAGGGCGTCACCATGGTGGATAACATGGACGACGGGGAGGAGCTGCAGATCACAGACGTAAGTGGGTGGGCATGGCTGGTGAATGACAGGGAGAGCCAAGACAGAATCTTTGAAGCCCTGCATGCCCTGTCATCAGAATCGGGGTGGGAGTCCCACCTAGAACTGTCAAGCAATAGTCCAGGTTCTTCCCTGAAATTTCTGGGGTTGCAGTTGGCATTTCTCCCCAGCCTGTCTTAGCAAGTAGAGTTTGTCTTTGCAGAGCTAAGGGACTCCATAGGGATGTAAGGAGTCGTGTACTTCACACATTTGTTTTCCTTCTCCAGTCCAGCTAGATGTTCCCACTGCACCCTCTCTTTCTCCTTGCTCTTATGGCCCTGAGCACCTGTGACTTCTGTTAGGAGTATTTGTGCAATCTCTCCTCTTGGACAACACAATTGATTCCTGATGCATCTTTGCCTTCCTTTCTCCCAATACCTAGCATGAAGCCCAAACAATAATAATGATGGTACTAAAAATAGTATTTCCCACTTTTTATTACATGTCAAGCACAGGGCTAAGGATTTAGACATCATTCTGATTTATCCATATGACCACCTACTATCCCCATTTTTCAGATGACTAAACAGAGGCCAGAGAGGTTAAACAAATACAATAACTATATTGCAGAACATGTGATCTGGGCTCTTTGGAGAAAAACAGACCTCCCTTGTCAGGGTGTGTCTGACCTCTAGACTCCACACTGTGCTGCAGTGGCCCGTTGGTGCCACCCCACAGTGGCAGTGCCCTGGCCTCCACTCTGGAATGAGAAGCCAGGAGGTTCTCAGCTTTCTCTTTTCTTTTCCAGGTTGCCTTTGACGTGCTGGGCTTCAGCGCCGAGGAGAAGATCGGTGTTTATAAGTTGACTGGGGGCATCATGCACTTTGGCAACATGAAGTTTAAACAGAAGCCCAGAGAGGAGCAAGCTGAAGTGGATACCACCGAGGGTAGGTGTTGGGCCATGGCCGTTCAGGGAGGAGGAAGCCAGTGGCAGGGGTTCCCTGCTCTCCAAGTCTTCATGCACATTTCACATATGTTATAAACCAAGAATGTCCCTTGGATAGCCAGATATCAATATCCTCAAAGAGACATGACTGAGAGTCAGAGATATGATTTTGGTTTCTATCCTCTGCTTGACCACTTGGCCTTGAGCAGGTGTGGAAACCATCTCAAACCTCTGTTTTCTCATTGGAAAACATGGGGTCTCCTCTGCCCACCCCTCACCCCCTTTCCCATTACAATAGGTTGTGCTGGGTTTCACTTGGTCAGAGCACAATCTTTCTTATACTCACCTGCTTTTTCCATCCCTGCTCAGTGGCTGACAAAGTCGCCCACCTCATGGGTCTCAATTCCGGGGAACTCCAGAAGGGTATTACCAGACCCCGGGTCAAAGTAGGCAATGAGTTTGTGCAAAAGGGTCAGAACATGGAACAGTGCAACAACTCCATCGGTGCACTGGGCAAGGCCGTCTACGACAAGATGTTCAAGTGGCTGGTGGTCAGAATCAACAAGACCCTGGACACCAAGATGCAGAGGCAATTCTTCATCGGAGTGCTAGACATTGCCGGCTTCGAGATCTTTGAGGTATGCCTGGCCTTGCCTTCCAGTTCTGTTTTGGGGTGGTCATCCTCCTTTTATAAGCTGCTTTCCACCATGGTTTTCTTGTTTCTCACCTTGGACCTGGGTCATGCCAACCTCAGTTTGCTCTTGGGTCTCTGACTTTTGGCCTCCAGAAAGCTTTATCTTCATTTGTATGACGCCTAATCATAAAGAATGATGATGAATAGAATTAGTGGTGTGCTGGAGCCAACCTGTACTGGTTCACAAGAGCTGATTGTTAAATTTTCTGGAATTTTGTGAGCCAGTTGACATCATATTGATATATGGCCATGGTGTGAATATTTATACCATGGAAATTGGCCAACACTACAAACCAGGCTGCCGCTGCCGCTGCCGCTGCTTCTTCTTCTTCTTCTTCTTTTCTTCTTCTTCTTCTTCTTCTTCTTCTTCTTCTTCTTCTTCTTCTTCTTCTTCTTCTTCT